CCCACATGCACAGTGGGGCTGTACGCTAGCCAGGCGCACGTAACGGCGGTTGTGTCGGGATTTAAACCCACGACCAGAGGAAGCAAGACAATTGTAAGATAATTACTTGGTTAACAACCAACTAGACAAAAAGGTCTAGTCTTGCTTCCTCTAATGTTAGAGGAACAAGACAGAAGCGTGCTTAAGTACTCTAGGTCTTTATTTCCTTATATAAATATATAGTTACCTTATAGTAAATTATTAAGAAATAAGTAGTAAATTAGCCTTACTTCTAGGAGTAACTTTACTAATAATATTGCTAGGATTAGCCTAGGATTTCCTAACTAAGAAATAAGAGGTTTTTCCCTGTTCTTACAAGATTTTGATACAGTTACACAACACATAACAGAATCAATCAATCAACCATTACAATCCCTACAATTTAACAGCTTTACCTACTATATTACGCTTAGTTAGCGCTTAGTTAGTGCACCTATTTAACACTACGCATATAAGGCACACACTGTAGAATAACCTCCTTTTCCCCTTAGCTTAGATTAATTATATTAAGTTGCTATACACCTGTCAGAAGGTGGTGTCAGCCCTTCACACAAGTCAACTCTCAAATTTACAGAGTAGAGAATGTCCAGGTTGGCCTGTTCTTAGATTGTTTGTTACACAACGAACGGCTATGCAGGCCCGTCCACCCCTAAAGGGTAACATTAGTCGCGCTCGCTGCCTCTGCCTCGTCAGTAGAGCAGTAGTGTATACAGCCTCACTTGCGCCGCGTGTTCTCTATAGTCGGGTCCGCTGGAATCATGAATGGTAACAACGAGCCCCTTGTATGCGGCCGTATTTTCAGAGAAGAAGGCAACAGTCGGGTTGCGGACAATGCGTCTTCCCAGTGTACGGGGGTTTGTTGGTGTGCATGGTAATGCAGGAACGGTAAGGCATGCATGGATGGGCAGACCGGAAGGTACCTGGGTAGATGGGGCAATACCTAAGTTGCTACTACTACTAGATAATGCGAGGCAAAGAGATAAGGGTCTGGTCTGGACAGTCGGCGCATTGATCGCTGCCTGGTCGCAAGTCGGGAGACAGTCCCTCTTGCTCCCATGTATGTCTACACTACGGATACAGGCAAGACATGTGGCGTCACAGAGGGGTAAGCGGTAGAATGTGACGGGAACAGGGAAGAAGCAACGCGACTTCTGGGGCGTTGACACGGTTGGGTAGGGTGAAGGGGGATTGATTGTTTGAGATGGTTGTCGCAATAGCTTCGTATAGAGATCGCGCTGCCAAAAAAGATGCGGGTATCAGGCCATATTGACCCTTGATAGTGGTCAGGGAGGGGGGCAGAGTTTGGGCCTTGTCCACGTTGGCGGTTGGTGTCATGAGCAACGGGCGGGAATGCAGTGATGTTGGATGAGCAAAGTTGCTGTATAGAATGAGTTGAGCGATGAAAGACATGTGGCCGGACAGGGAGGTAGGTACTATTAGTCGCTACCCCGGGTTGCCAAGGAGTGGGGGTAGGAGTGGGGGTAGGAGGGGGGAGAGAAGTAAAGGGGCCTCGGAAGGACCAAGGAACAGTAGGTACCCATTCTCCTTCTCATACATACCTATGCAGTACTACAGATTCCTCGCTCGCGAGGGAGACGGACAGGATGAGAGGAGTGTCTGAGCTGCCTACGCGCCGTGTCACCATGGGCGGCGTCGGTTACTGCACCTTTTCCCCCCCCTTCTTTTGGCGTGACCGTAGTTTATGTGAGTTTGTGTGTAAAGGTTTGTGAGCCAATGTGGACAGAAAAAGCTAGTGTTGGATCCGGCACTCACAACCAATCGGGAGCGGATATCGTGGCAACGACGGTTAAGTTGAGAGCGATGTTTACAGTAAGAACTGATTGATCCCCGAAGAGCACCGGTGTCTGTCGGAGATGGGTTAGAATGCATCACGATGAGTAGCTGGCGCCGAAGACGAAATACACATATCAAGGTGGATTGGATTGGATTGGCATTGATGCGCATACCTAGTGTCCATCTGCTAGGGAATGGAACCGGAGAGAGAGAAACAGCAGCACACTTTGCAGGCGCTAGGTCGATATGGGAGCAATCTCCAATAAGACGACGATAAGTGCGCAATTAGCAGCAGCAGACAACATTAACAAGCAGTTGGCTGAGCTCTACCGAGCCGATGCGGGACGACTCGGATTGGGGGGGCATGGTGCATTAGAGCCAGGCAGGAAGGAGACGGTCACTGACTAAGGCTAAGGTGGCCCCCCCCTCCTCCATGCCGACACTGACATCCGTGCCGAAAACGATGAAAGCAAGGAGCCCGTTCCTTGCAAGCGGCGGCGGGTCGTGGTGCGGCGATGCTGCGAACGGACGGACGTCCGATACTTGGTGCGTCGCAGATGGTTGATGGGGGCTGACGGGAGCTCTCAACTCTGGCGTGACCCGACCCGACCGGTGCAGCAACGAGTGGGTGGGTGGGAAGCTGCCGATGTGTGCGTGTGTAATATGTTCTTTCTGTCCGCCCTTGTCTACCCCACTCTCTCACCTACCGGTAGTGTAGATGGGAAGTCGTGCTCTCTCGTCTTGTAGTGGTGGTCCGTGTTCATGGTCCTCCTGGCCCCTCCCCGGTCGAAAGGGAAGGAGGCATTGTCACTACCTACCGAGGTCGGAAGAGAAAGGGACCACATTGAAATAGGTTCCGAAACAAGCAGCTTATCTTGGAGAGGACATGATTCCAAGGTGCATCAGCCATGCTAGTACACGTACAATGTAATTTAGTGTTGGTGTGTCGGGCTTCGGCATCGGAATAAGGAAGCGTCGTCGTCGTCGCCGTCGGTGTCGTTGTCGTTGTCATCCTTCTCACTCTCGATGCATTATCCCTCCATGCCTTACTCGATGCAGCGGCTAATTTCACAAGCCGACGCGAACTACGCCGGCACCCGGGTGACAAAAAAGATGGCACACCAAATCTTGCCCACCCACCTATCCCCACCTTTTCCTCCCTTCTTTATGATTATTCTACAGCAAAACTGCCTTTCTATTATAATGCCTAGTTACAAAGTACAGACTCTAAAAAAAATAATTAACATTAATAGCAAGCGTGCTTAGTAGTAAGTAGAACTGCCTTATATTTAATTTAATTGATTTGTATGGGTATATTTATTAATGAAATGCTATGTCGGTTGTGATTGTATGGTGTAGGTAGAATTTGGTGTGCTATCCTTTTTGTCACCCGGGTGGCCGGGTACCTTCGCGTGTGCTGTACTGGGGTAAAGGCGAGTGTGAGTGAGAGTTAGCGTGTGTGGGTGTGGCCCGTGGCAGGTACCTACCCCCCTCTCATACTTGGCCTCAGCTCAATCACCTTGGCTTTTTAACCGTTTGGGCGTACGGGCACTCAACTGAAAGCCACGGCTCATGACACTACGACATGGGCAGAACGACACGAGCGGCCCCTGGAGCAGGTCCAATCCCCGAATAAAGATGTGAGAACCCCCATGAAACGTCAGTTGGCGCTTGCGCTGGTGCTGGCATTGGCATTGGCATCGGCGTTGGCGTTGGCGTTGGCGTTGGCGTTGTAGTGATGGCTGTTATGTCCTAAAAGATAATCCGGCGGGGGGGTTCGGAAACACCAAAGGTCCTTGCGCCGGAAACCATGCCAAAGTCGGATGTATACAGCCAGCCAACCATCTTTGCGATCATATACCTTACGCAGGAGCAGAGCAGACAGAGAGTGAAAACGTAGCGCCTGACTATCAATGATTCAGCCGCCTTATTGCTAATTGACGATGTTCCTCTGGGCTCATTGCGCCGCCCATATCGACATATATCAAACGTTATACATTTATAGTTTATAAGCCCGGAATTGGTGCCCGCATCCACAACCGCGCTCGCACTAGTAGCGACAACATGACAATCTCGGATGTACCCATGTATCCACATGTATTGGGAAATCAGACACGGGTCTCAGCAACTCGGCTGAGCCAACCACCCAAGCGCCAGATTAGATAGGCGGACAACAGGCATGCACAATCCAAACGTCTACCTGCCTAGTAATCAGTAGCGACAGTCTAGCCTCATGGTTGCTTCTGTAGAACACAGCCAGCGCAGAGTGCAGGATGCATCTTTTGTCCGTCTCACAGACCGCACAACTCTGTCTTGCCTCTTTTTTTTTTCCCCCTCCCCCGCGGCCCCCCTTCCCTTCCTTGCCTTTGCTTTCAGGGCTGCCGCTTACCTCACGCTGTTGTCCTGCTCAATCACACCCGTCTATCAGAACTTCTCTATACCTCCTCTCTGTCTCTCTCTCTTTCCCTCTCAACCTCGCACGCCATACTCCAACAAACATACCACACACATACGCCCGACCTCACGCTGCCGTATCGAATTGGGCCCAAGACACACTTCTTTTCGGCCCTGCCTTTCTTGGTCGCGCAGCTTCATTCCTCCCGCCTTGCTCTTTCCCATCCTCCGGATCTCACCACGTTACACGCGTGCTGTATGTGACGAGTGATGCGATAAACCACCAACACAGCGCCGCGAGTTCCACTGCCGTTTTGATTCCAGTTCGCATTCCGCCCGGTCGCCACATCATCAAAAGCATGACCTAGCCGCACCGATATTTTGTCTTTCTTTGCCCGCGCGCCCACACACGCATACACACACACACGCGCGCGCGCGCGTGCGAGCGTCATTCTTCCCCTCCTCAACCCGACGCTCCTTGATCTGTTGCTGCGAGCATTTCCCTCTATCCGGCGACCAGACGCCCATCGACATCGCCGTTCGTCACTGTTGCCACACCCGTGAACATTAAGCGCCACCCAACTTATCCACCCGCCCTCGTTTACCTCTGCCGAACCGTCATTGTTCACCACGCTTTCGTCCACACCGCAGCAGCCATCAGCCCCTTCATCTCTCGCGACCGCATAGGCATCCTTCGGTACCCTCTGGGCCTCTCTCGCCCTTGTCCTCGGGAATGACATGGCTCTACGCCCTCCTGCGACGTCCCGGCGACAATGACGAGGAATGAGGCGGGCATTCGCTTCAGCTCTCTCACGAGCACCAGCACTGACAGCACCCTCAGCCGATCCCCAGCCACGGTGAGACCTCCCAACAACACGTCGCCGGTATCGCGCAAGTCGTCCACGTCTATGCGCCTCAAGACGGAGGTCAATGGATCCCTCGCAGAGAAGTGAGTGTCATGTTTCCTGTATGCGTTTTGCCTCGTCGTGTTCCGCCCTGGTCCACCTACCCCCCCGGTGCCTATACCCGTACCCGTACCCATGCCCATACCATACCCGTCCCCAGTCGATCAAGCAGTTGTCAAATCATCCACACAACACACAAGCCCTGAATCGAAACTCCAGTCAGGTCAGCCCAGGCCAGTCCCCCCCCCCCCTTCCCCAACCCACAACAGAAGCCCTTCCCTAGGCACGCTAGTTCTTGACCCCAGTCCAATTTGCCTTGGGTTGGGTGAGAGGGTCCTTCTGAGGTCTCCTTATAACCCATTATTCGTGGGAAGTGTGTGAGATGGATGAGTTGAGTGGTGAGGCGGCCCCGGTCATCACCTTTCTTACCCACTGTCCCCTGCCCCGTTGGCCCGTTGTTTTAGTGTCTACGGAGTAGTGTCTGGTGGTGTCTGATCTGGCTGGCCTGGCTCTGTCCCGCACTCATCTCTGTTGCGTGCCGTCCCCGAAACTCAGTTCCCCTGCGGCGAGACGCAAGTGGTGTGGCTTGTGCCCTTTTCTTTTTCCTTTTCCTCCCCACCCCCCTCCCTACCTTGTTGCTGCCCTCGTTGGTTTGCTCTGCCTGGTTTGTCTGCCGCCCTGTTGTCGCTGGCTGATGCTACCGGGTAGCTCCTTCTGTTGCCTTCTCTAGCTCGCGTTGTGAGGTACACATGTGCGTGCACCTTACCCTGTACCTACCTCACAGCAATAGCACGCACTCCTCCCCTTCCCCCATTCTCCGCATTCACATTCATTACTTCCATTCCACCATTTCGTCCCCTCCAATTGAAGGGGCCGGCGACTTTAAGCCATCAAGCCTCACGTCTGCGTACCTTACCTGAATCCGAACCTGCACCCCTCTCTCATCCAATCCTATCTACCCCTGCCCAAGGGAAGCTTTGTGATTGTCGTCGCTTCGTTAGTGGAGCTCTTCGCTGTTTTCGATCCCTCTAGTTGGTCCCAAGCGGCTTTCAGCTCAGGCTGTCTCATTCCTCCTCTCTACTCCGAGAACCTTCTCTTCTTTCCCCCTCTCAAGAGGTATCCTTTTTATTATTCTTCTTGTTATTATGATTTTGATCTTGATTCATTGACGAATGCACCCATAACTGACTGTGGTTCCTGCGTTCCACCCCCCCCTCTAGACCATTCATCAGTGATTTGAGCCCAGTCGAGCCGCCCTCATCCATCTTCGCCTCTGCGCCGCGTGGAGCTTTGTCACCAGTAGCACCCAAGCCGAACTCCAATGTCTCGCCCCTTCGCGATCACCGCCTGAGCGACTTTGCCAACTACCGTCGAGACCTGGCCGTCCTTGAGACATCCGCTGGCCGTCTGCCCTCTATCCAGCACAATCCTCCAACGGCCACCCTATCTTCAACCTCTCAAGTCGCTCCCTGGATGTCGCCCTCCAACGGCGGTGCCACCGCATCCACCCCCCACCAGACGACCTTCTACAATGATTCGAGCGATAACCTGTCTGTCGCGTCCCAGCTCTCGCCAGGCTTTCGTCCCCCGACACACAGGATCGCGCCCCAATCCTCTGGCAGCCAGGACTCGCCCGATGTAGCCTACTTTGCAGACGAGCGGCGCCCTTCGCTGGCGAGCATAACAACGCTGAGCAGCCAGGGTTCCAAGACGAGCATTCGAAGAGGTGGGTTGCAAAAGCTACAGGGTTTCTTTGGCGAGGAATTTCCTGGCCGCGATGGATCGGAAAGTAGTTTGCATTCCAGTTCCGGTAGGGACCGTTCGCGTTCCTACAGCCACAGTCGCCCTACCAGAGACCGCAACTACTCCAACGCAACCGATCATGCACGCGACCGCGAGGGTTCGCCTTCCTCCTCCAGGCCTAGGACGCCTGTGCCGGCCCCCGAAGTAGTGCCCTTTCTTTATCAGGAAGCCGACGTGAGTCTGACCCTCCCTCTCCAATGAATCCCGTCATCAAACATTTCTTCCTGCGCATCCATCCATTTTACCCCCCCCCCCCCCAAATATCCGCTAATCCGCACCCTTGGCGCCACTATCTCGCATCCGGGAACTGCGCCGCATTAGCCCATCACCTTATCTTATCTCTGTTATTGCCCTTTCGTTCACCCGTCCCGTCATGCCTCGAGTCAAGACTGCTAAACGTGCTTCAAGGATATTGCCAGGTTCGGCGAGGCCCCAGTTCGAGACATTTTGAGCGGCCCCGACCGCGAACGTTACATGAACAACGAAAATCCCAACAACTCGCAAAACCCACCAAAGACTTCCTCATCAAACCGCTCTGGCCATTCAATCGTGCATCTCCCCGGCCACCATCACCGCCACAACAGGAGCATCGACGATGGCAAGGCTCTTCGACCAACTGTAAGTAGGGAAGATTCGCAAGCGAGCTTGCAAGTGCAGAATTCCCGAGAACGAGGCGCTTCCGCTGCCACCGTCATGTACGGCTCCAATCGATCCCGTGCAGAGAGCCCAACTCCGAGCGGCGGTTATTTCAGCTCGAGGCACGGCACCATCGACGGCTCGATATCGCCCGGGAGCCAGCATCAGCAGCCCCAGCCGCAGCAGCAACAGCAGCACCACCACTCGAAAAGAAATCTGTTGCATCGCCTGCGGCGGAATAAGGATAAAGATGACGGGTCCTCTAGACTGCGCGAGTTGCCTGGGTCTACCAGGTCCTTGGCCACGAAGCCATCGCGACCTGAATTTGCCAGACCCGAAATGTCGCCATCAACCTTCCCGCTTACGCTCTCAGGTACCGAGCCTGGCCCGGACCAAGACCCTCGACTGGCCGCCTACAACCAGCGGAACCAGCCACAGGTGCAGACGTTCAACAACAGATTCCCCTTCTCCAAGAGCAAAGGACGACAGCACCGACCGACAGAGGCACAAGACGAGCAGATCGGGCCGACAGACAGGCAGCCAGGTGGTTTCGGCACTGTCTTCCACTTGGACACCAATCTGAGCGACATGGAGGGCATTCTCACGAAACCACCGCCACTGACACCAATGGACCATGCCTTCATCGCGAGTATCGTCGATCCCGAAAAAGTCGAACCCCCTCCTGTCCCCGCGAAGCCCGATGCCATACCTGGGCCCAATGGTTCTTGGAACGCGCCCGACAGCTGGGCTGTTCGCCGTAATACTGAAGATACTACGTACCAGGCGCCCGACATCGACGACGTTGGCAGCCCCCCTCGCCCAGAGGAGAAGATGACACCTTATTGCATCCGAATCTTTAGATCAGACGGAACGTTCGCGACCCTTTCCATGGCTCTTGACGCCAGCGTCACCGACGTCATATCCCAGCTCATCAAGAAGACATACGCGACGGACGGTTTGGAAAACTACCACATAATCCTCAAGAAGCACGATCTGGTCCGCGTGCTTTCTGTTGCTGAGCGACCGCTGTTGATGCAAAAAAGACTGCTGCAACAGATTGGCTACGAAGAGCGGGACCGCATCGAGGACGTAGGTCGAGAGGACAACAGCTATCTGTGCCGGTTCATGTTCCTTTCCTCGCGAGAAAGCGACTTCCACTCGGTTACGAATGATCTCGGCCTCGGACGCATTCAAAAGTTCAATCACGTTGACCTCTCCGGCCGTAATCTCATTACCATTCCGATATCGCTTTACTCCAGAGCGTCTGAAATCATCTCGCTTAACCTCTCCCGCAACCTGTCTCTCGATCTTCCTCGCGACTTCATTCAGTCGTGCCAAAACTTGAGAGACATCAAGTTTAACAACAACGAAGCCCGAAGGCTACCCCCAAGCCTGGGCAAGGCGGCAAAGCTTACCTACCTCGATGTTTCAAACAACAGAGTCGACCAGCTGGACCATGCTGAGCTGCATGGGCTGCATGGCATCCTGAAGCTCAACATCGCCAACAACCGTCTCAAGGCTCTTCCGCAGTACTTTGGTGCCTACAAGGCTCTTCGGAACCTCAACATTTCTTCCAATTTCCTGGACAAGTTTCCGCTTTTCCTCTGCGACGTTGAGAGTTTGGTGGAGCTGGATCTCAGTTTCAATTCCATCAGCAGCCTGCCTGACCAGATTGGAAGATTGAGAAACCTGGAGAAGTTTGTCATCACCAACAACAGACTGTCAAACTCCCTGCCGGATTCCTTCGCCGAGCTATCCGGCCTTCGAGAGTTGGACATCAAGTACAACGCTATCACGAGTATCAACATCATCTCCCTGCTGCCGAAGCTCGAAATCCTCTCGGCCGACCACAACAGCATTTCTCAGTTTATCGGCAGCTTTGAGAGGATAAGAAGCTTGAAGCTGAACTCGAACCCGATCACAAAGTTTGAGATCATCGAGCCTGTCTTGACGTTGAAGATGCTCAACCTGTCCCACTGTCAATTGGCGAGTATTGACGAGACCTTTAACATGATGTTGAACTTGGAACGTCTCGTGTTGGACAAGAACTACTTCGTCTCTCTACCACAACAAATCGGAAACTTGAGCAAGCTGGAGCACTTCAGCATCGCAAACAACAACGTGGCAGAATTGCCCACATCGATAGGGTGTCTGACTGAGCTTCGCGTGTTGGATGTGCGGAGGAACAACATTAGAAAACTGCCGATGGAACTGTGGTGGGCCAACAAGCTCGAGACCCTGAACGCGTCCTCCAACATCCTTGAAAACTTCCCGAAGCCGGCCTCGAGGCAGCCGCGGCCGGCAGGCGAGGAAGCGCAAACACCGGCGCCTGTCAACAAGCCGAATCCCATGGAACGCATAGTACAATCCCCTCTCGAGGAGTCTCAGGATGTTTCCAGGAGGCCAAGCCAAAACTCGTCCTCAACCTTGCTGAGTGTTGGACCTTCGCCTGTGCCTGGCAGCGCCGACAGGAAGAGCTCTGTCGTATCGGTCTACGGCAAAGGCGGTCGTAAAACCTCAGTGGTGTCTAGGTCAGCATCACAAGGCGCCGTCCCGCCATTACCCCCCTCTGCAACCGCCAGGAAGGACTCGAGTCTGTCGTCGCGGCTTTACACAACGTTTGCGGGATCCTTGCGCCACCTCTACTTGGCAGAGAACAAGCTCGACGACGAAGTCTTTGACCAGATCACTATGCTCACCGAGCTACGTGTCCTCAATCTATCGTGGAATTACATTAACGATATGCCTCAACGATCGATCAAGAGCTGGCCACAGATGGTGGAGCTCTACTTGTCTGGTAACGAACTGACGACCCTACCGGCCGACGATCTAGAAGACGCCAGTTTGTTGCAGGTGTTACACATCAACGGAAATAAGTTCACCAACCTGCCAGCCGACATATCCAGGGCTAAGAAACTGGCAGTTTTGGACTGCGGCAGCAATTACCTGAAGTACAACATTTGTAACGTCCCGTACGACTGGAACTGGAATCTCAACCCGAACCTGAGGTATCTCAACCTCTCGGGCAACAAGCGCTTGGAGATAAAACAGACAGTCACGGGCCCGACAATTCCGAACCGTGAATCGCTGGCCGACTTCAACAGGCTCTTGAACCTTAGAGTTCTAGGTCTCATGGATGTCACCCTTACACAGCCCACCATTCCGGATCAAAGTGAGGATCGTCGTGTGCGCACGTCCGGGTCTTTGGCGGGTCACCTTCCCTATGGTATGGCCGACACGTTGGGCAAGAATGAGCATCTGTCGACTATCGATCTTGTGGTGCCTCGTTACAACTCTTCGGAGACCGAGACCCTGCTGGGCCTGTTCGACGGTCAAGCGCTATCGAGCGGCGGCTCTAAGATTGCCAAGTACCTACACGAGAACTTCGGCCACATCTTCACCATGGAATTGAAGGCTCTCAAGACGCGGCTCAACGAAACACCCGTGGATGCTCTAAGACGCGCCTTCTTGTCCCTGAATAAAGACTTGGTTACCATTGCTATCCAACACACCGAGGAGCGTTCGCAAAAGACGCATAGGGGCTCTGCGACACCCGTTGTGTTGAGCAAGGAAGACCTGAACTCTGGTGGGGTTGCGACTGTTGTCTATCTCCAAAACCAAGAACTCTACGTCGCCAATGTGGGAGATGCTCAAGCCATGCTCATTCAGACCGACGGGTCTCACAAGATTCTCACACGAAAGCATGACCCCGCAGAGCCCAGTGAGCGCCAACGTATTCGAGAGGCCGGCGGTTGGGTTTCTCGTAACGGCAGACTCAACGACCTTCTCGAGGTTTCGCGTGCTTTCGGCTACGTTGACCTGATGCCGGCAGTTCAGGCTTCGCCTTATGTCAGCAACTTTACGATTCGTGAGCAGGACGACATAATCCTGATCGCGACGAGGGAGTTCTGGGAGTACTTGGATCCCGCGCTGGTTGTTGACTTTGCGAGACAGGAGCGTGGTGATCTCATGAGGGCATCGCAAAAGCTACGAGACCTGGCCATTGCTTATGGCGCTACAAACAAGATTATGGTCATGATGATCAGCGTTGCCGATCTTAAGAGGAGGAGCGAGAGGTCAAGACTTCATCGAGGCCAGAGCATGTCGCTGTATCCTTCTGGCGTTCCCGACGACCTCCAGCAACCTCTACGCAGAGGCAAGAGGAACAAGGGCGATGTCCTCGACTCCACGCTGCAGCGTCTTGAAGCCGAGATCCCAGCGCCCACGGGCAACGTGTCGATCGCCTTCACTGACATCAAGAATTCGACAACTCTCTGGGAGATGTATCCGGCTGCCATGAGATCTGCCATCAAACTGCATAACGAGGTCATGCGTCGGCAACTCCGAAGGATTGGTGGATATGAGGTCAAGACTGAAGGTGACGCGTTCATGGTATCGTTTCCGACGGCCACGTCAGCGCTGCTCTGGTGTTTTGCCGTCCAGATGTCGCTGCTGGATGTTAATTGGCCCTCCGAGGTCCTGAATTCCGTTTCATGTCAGCCATTGTACGACAAGGACAATGCCCTGATCTTCAAGGGTCTCTCTGTGCGCATGGGTATTCATTATGGCGAAGCCGTCAGCGAGATGGACCCCGTGACAAGGCGTATGGATTACTTTGGACCGATGGTCAACAAAGCCTCGCGTATCTCCTCCGTCGCCGATGGAGGTCAGATCACTGTTTCATCCGACTTTATTTCGGAAATACAGCGTTGTTTGGAGAACTACCAGGACACGGACAGGAACGGGTCTACTGGGTCTGAGGACACGTTCGACGACGACCAGGGCTTCGCTTCTTCGATCCGCAAGGACCTACGCTCTCTTAGTTCGCAGGGCTTCGAGGTCAAAGAAATGGGCGAGAAGAAGCTCAAGGGTCTTGAAAACCCCAAAGTCGTGTACTCGCTGTACCCACATGCTCTTGCAGGCCGTATCGAGCACCACCAACAACACGAGCAACGCACTGAGGTCGACAAGCCCGCGATCCTTCAGGCGGGCAGCGAGCTGGCTTTTGACACCGAGTCTATCTGGGCTTTGTGGCGTGTCAGCTTGAGGTTAGAGATGTTGTGCAGTTCGCTCGAGAACGTGTCCGGCCAGGGCCTGCAACCACCGGAAACAGAGTTACTGGAGAGGATGAAGCACCGTGGAGGTGAAGTCACGGAGAGGTTTCTGCTCAACTTTATGGAACACCAAGTGAGCAGAATAGAGGTAAGTTTCCTTAGCTCTGGGGTGCAAGGAAGGCATTTACTAACACAAGAGTTCAGACCTGCGTCACGACCCTGTCACTACGTCATATCGCTATCGGCAATGCACCCTTGGAACAGCTTCAGGACATGCGAGGTTCTATGAGCGACATTCTCGACCAAGTTGCCAAACAGATGAGCGAGCTGGCAAGATACAAGGCACTATACGGCGAGCTGGACGAATCCGAAGACGGAAGCGAAACGGAATGAAAGCGGTGTGGCGAGCGTTCATTCATGATTCTCATGCGACGGCATCACATATATAGTATACCTATGACGCGAGACAGCATCTCGTCAACATCAACAACCCCCGGATACCCGTTTCTTTTGGAGAGGGAACACGGCGCTCTTGTATACTTATTCCATTCCTGTATCATGCGATTACGACGACACCCAAAAAGTTCTAGCGAGCAGCCGTTTGGCGGCTGCTTCCTGTATTTCACTGGTTCAGGAGAGGGGGTTTTGGCTCACTTTGGGGAATGATGAGTAGCTGCGCGTGACGGTTTTTGGAGGCGCGTTGGATGCGCGATGCATGCAATGGCCTTTTCTGGTTCTGTCGGAAGGAGAGCTAGGCGGCGACAGCCGGGACTGCCTGTGTTGGATTGAATGAAAACCAAAAAAGTCGTTGTGCTACGAATTCGATGTTTTTTGTTCAAAGGCGGGTGGCGGTTACGGCCGCGCGATGAAAGCGAGAAACAAAGTCACGCTCTGGTAGGCTCGCAGTAGGATAGTGTCTGCTTGTTTTATTACCTGATCCGGAGCACATTGCGCGGCGTATTGAACGATTCAATCCGTATTTCAACTGCCATGCCTCATGTCCCATGGCCTCTTGCTGAAGTGAGCTCTATCTAAAGGTTGTATTAACGTGATGTCAATGTTGCCATGACCGGAGTTATGTGGCAAAGCTTGCCTTGATTTATTTAGCAAGTCCTTATTTAATACACGAACGGCATACTTTTCCAGCGAGTTACTCTGAGCCCGAGTGTTGTAACGTACTTGAAAATTTTCCACACTGTTACTGAGAGACGACCCGGACACCGGCGCCGGCGTCTTTGGTCCGTTTCAGGATCCGGATCCGTGGTTCCATGCGCGGCCCAACCCACCAGCCGCCCGTTAATCCCCGGACTAGCCCACGCACCCGCTTGACTACCAAACCTCTTCCTAGGACCCTTGGCTCCCCTTCCTCCTCGTCGCCGCCATCAGATGGGGACTTGGACCCGGGTCGTAGGATTTCGACGCCGGCATAGCCCTGCACGATGCCGACCGTCTCCCATTGGCCGCCCCTGACGGAGGCCGGGTCTTCGGCGAGGACGTAGTCGAAGCGGGACCAGAATGCAGGATCGGCGAGGACGGCCTTGTCCTCGGTCTTGTCGAACGTGAGGATCGGCGAGGACGTCATCGTCGAGGCTGAGGTGCCGTCATGTAGGGCGGACTCCAGGGCGCGGGCATGCGGGTTCTTGGGCAGGCCGACGAGGTTCTGATTGAAGAGGGTGACGCCCGTCATGCAGCTGAGGACATCGGTGTGGACGGAGGTGACGGCGCCACCGCTGCCCGAGGAGTCGGAGACGACCAGGGCGTGCAGCTGACGGAGTGCGTCGCCGCCGGGGTAGTTTAGGGAAGAGAGGAGAAGCATGCCCGTTGAGGCGGCGAGGGAGGCAAGAACGCTGAGCACGAGGGCGGCCGAGGCCAGGGCGTAGAGCGGAGACTTGGAGCGGCGAGCGAATATCAGGTTTGCGCCCTGGGCTGCTGCGGCGGTCAGGGGCGGGACGGCGTAGAAGATGAAGCGGGCTTCTTTATGTGGTTGGAGGGAGTAGATGGCAACAAAGAGGAGGGGGGGCACCACGAGGCCAGCTGCTGTGCGGGATGTTGCTGGGTGAAAGAGGGCCAACGGGACTAGGAGGAAGGCCAGGGGATTGACGAGCAAGCGCGGCAATGCCGAAGAGAAGTAGTAGTGCCAGGGGGAGACGCCCCAGTTGGACGAAGAGCCAAGAATGGCGTTGTAGTAGAAACCCCAGAGCTCCGGCCAGAGCGGCTTCTGCCAGAAATATGAGTCGAGGGGCACGGAGACAGCGACGGCAACGGCGAAGGAGATGAGAAAGGGGCGGACAAGGTGGAGAATCGTGGTTTGGTGCGTGGCGAGAAGGTAGAGGCCTGTGGTTGCGAGGAGGACGGCGACTTCGGAGCGGAAGATTGCGGCAGCGAAGACAAGGAGGGAGATCGCGACGCGGAGGCGCGCGGAGCGGGACTTGGGAGATGTGGAAGGGAATGGAAGCAGGTTTGCTGCGGCAAGTGTTGCTGGGCAGTGTCAGTCCTTTGGATCTATTATTCGAGGGGAGGCTGAGGGCTCAGGTTGGGGGGGGGGGGGGGGGGGGGGGGCACTCACTCAAGCCGAAGGCAAACATGTTGGGCAACGTCCTCGAAGCATAGAACACGACATGAAACTGGCTGACTAGCAACATAACCCACCATCTCATCACATTCGAGCCCAGCCCTTTATTCAGGCTGCTTGCAAACACCAGCAGCGCGGCAGCGTTAGCAAACCCCAGGAGGGCGCGGACGATAAGCTGGGCGTGGTGGAAGCCGAAGAGGTTGACAACAGGGCCACCAAGGCCGGCGAGGAGTACAGGGCCGATAAATGTACGCGGAACGGCCCCGGGGAAGTCAAAGTGGTCGTAGGTGGCGCGCAAGCGAGCTGCCACGTCGTGAGTGGGCGTGCCGTAGACGAGCACGTCATGGGCGGCCTGGATGTTGAAGGATTCCTCGACTTTCGTGTCCGGGACGAGAATAAGGTGAATTGTTATGAGAGTAGGGATAAGACCCAGGAGGGCGACATCTGGAGTTTGTTAGTGTGGGAGGTTTACCAAAGACTATTAGGACCGAGAGGGTGTGCGTTGTGAGATAGTTACCTAGGAGCTTCATTGTGAATGGGTGAGTAAAGGGTCCGAAGGGGGGAGCAGAGATGTGTCGCAAAGGGAAAAGGAGTCTCTGATGTTTAATCTCATTGCTGAAGGACGAACATAAATGCGAACAGAAGAGAAGCAATGGGCAGGCCGCGAGGTTGTGAAACAATTTGCCCTGTGCTTTCTCACCTTTTCATTTTGAGATCTTCACGACTTTCGTCTTTGGATTCAGAGCAGGTGTAAGCTGGCGTCTCGTGCCTGCCAATGCCATTGAGAAAGTGAGCTCTGAGCGAGCGTCCGTGCACGGCCCCAGCTCGCTCACAGCAATGCTGATCTTACTCAGTAGTCAGTCTACACCACTCCCTCAGAGAGCTAGTGGACACAGTGACAGGTAGTGCCTCAATGCAGGGATCCTCGGAACGGATCAACGTCCCCCTCCAAAGCTCTGGACAGAACAACACATCCCTCCATCCAACCGGTCACTATCACCACCTGGCTCCCAATCCCTGGCGCTTCGTTCTTATAACCTCAGCCCAACCCAGCGGAAGGAGACGCTACGCCTCGATCCAACTCAGCAGACCAAATACCAGCTCCCCCGATAGTGGGCGACCGGAAGCCAACGGAACCGTCAAGATGTACATCATAGGGAACTTCCTCTACAGTCCGTCTTCCCTCTTCGTACGAATCTCGCAAGCTTTCCACGATACTAACACCTCCCTTCCTAGTCGCCGTCCTCCTTATCAACGCCATTGCCATCCTCTCTGAAGACCGCTTCCTCGCGCGTAGTACGGGCCCCTCTTCCCTCGCCCTCTCCCACCCGCTTACTTATCCCCTGAATCTACGACCTCGAGGCGCATAGCGGACCCGGTATTTGGTGCAGGAACAAAGCCCGGCTAACAACGGCAAAATAAATAGTCAACCTCTCCCCCTCTTCCTACGACCCGAGCTTTGGCGCAAGCACCGACGCCAGTGTCAAGGCGAAGATCATTAACCTGATCGCCAGCGTACGGACTCTCATGAGAAGTACGAACCCCTCCAGAGAGCGCGCGCAACCTGTCTGCGCTCCTATTTCCCCCGACTTTCGTGCTGATAGTACTTCACGCAGTACCGTTGATCGGGATCAACACCATCATCATCTTGTACGAACTCATCCTCGGCTAAAAACCCAGAGGCAAAGACGGGGAAAGGATGACGATAGCTGCATCTTCACTTATTTTTGGGGTTTTTGTCGAAAAATGGATCAGACACATGGCTTATAGCACTTTTTCCACCGCATGGCATCATGGTAATGAAACGGCGTTGAGGGGGGGTAAGCGGGCGCGGTTTGGGTTTGTCGGCTGGGCATCAGTTGTCCAAGTGTACAATTCACTGGCAGCGATCGATTATCGTCAAAATCTTGGGCGGGGATAATGCTTCAACTATTCCGAACTGATTCCTGGCTCTCCCGAAAGCACATCGGCTCTCGATATTTATCATCTGTCATCGGCGGCGTCTTGTGCTATTGTACAGCCCGACAAGATGCCGGAGGGAAAGTAACGCTCGAGATGCCATCATCGCACATATCCCCCTATGCCATCAGTAAGTGAAAAAAAAAAAAAATTTATCCAAGCAAACCACACCATGCTCGGGTATCTGCTTGCGCCAAGAGTCGTCTCCCCCACCCCCAAAGTTCTTCGTGTACCCAATGATGGTGATTCGTGCCGGTTTTTCTTGGCCATGTACTGCGCCAATCGCGCAAAACGACATCTCGACCCCCCTCCCCCTCCTTTTTCTGAATGTATGTACTGCAATATATCACAATGGAGCCATCGGAAAAATCCATGAAAACGTCATTTGTCGCTTCATGAAAGCAAGTTGCCGCTCTTCTTCCTGCCAAGATTGAAACTGAACCGCTCCTTCAACTCCTTGGGCTTATCTGGCTGGTTTGGTGATCCATCGGAGCCGTTGTGACCATTTTCTGATGGTTGGCGCGATTCGCCCTTGTCTTTATCCTTGCTCAGGAACCCAAAACTCTTCCTGCTCATCGACTTACTTGCCCGGCTCGACCGATTGAGGAACCCGCCTGGACTTGACGAGTCCTTCTTCTTGGTATCGTCCGGTGCTGATTTCTTACTGGCCTCAATTGCTTTGTGCAGGTCGTCCTGTTCTCGCTGATAGGCATCCCTCTCCCGGGCCATACTCTCCCTTTCTTGCTTCTCCTTCTGTTTCGCCTTCTCCTTTTCAGCTTGCTTCCGGGCCTTATCCGCAGCTTCCTGTTCCTTCTTCTCGCGCTTCTTGTCATCTTTGGACTTGTCCGTCTTCGCCGCCGTGTTGGACCTGGCAATACTAGCAGGAATCGTAGGAACAGGAGGAGCGGCACGCTTCTCGTACGCTGGAAGCAGTTTTTCTGGCGGCGGAGCTTCCACCTTACCCGGGGCGGTTTGTGCATGCGCGAGGCTCGGAAGCGGCTCCTGTTCGTCTGTTTGACTGACGGGCTGCGTGAACTGTTTCGAAAGCGGGGCTGTGCCATTCGTGCCATTTGTGCCGTTTGGCTGACCGTTCTCATGAGCAACGTTGGCAGCTTCACTGGCGATCTTGACTTCCTCCAGCCCCTCGGCCTCCATCTCAGCTTGCACCTTTTCGAAAGTGGTTTCCTGGTAGAACAAAACGTAGGCGCAAGCCATTCCAGGCTTGTCGCCGAAAAAATTGCGAACAAAATGCTTGTCAACCGGCTCTACCATCTCATCGTCAAAGAGAACCCAGCCCCGGTCTTTAGTCTTGATTACCGAGACGTAATGGCCGTGGTAGGCGTTTCCGCCAATGTGAACGACGACGGCGTATAGTTCATAGAGCCGGTCGGGGTCTTCTGCGTCATCGGTGGTATTGAACATGCGCAGGTGATATGGGTACACGACCCTGTGGAAGAGCTTCTGCAGTCGACTGTAGTCCTCAGTGTATTTGAATCGCTTTAAATGCAGTGCGAGAACCTTCGGTAGCCGCTTAATCTTCATTCGCTTTTCGGCCTCCTGAAGTCCGCCGCAATGGTCGCAATGAAACTTGTTACGCTCACACAACATCTCCTCGGCCGAGAATTTGCGCAGGCAAGACGTTACCGACGAATGTTCCTCCAAGTCGATGGACAAGTCCAGGAATGTTTCATCTCGTTGCGAAGCGGTTTCGCAAGTGAGGCACTTCGTTTCTGACGTCAAGACACCTTCGAAGATGTCATGCACCCAGCCAGTTCCCGGCGAACCCATCCCGTTTGGTGACCGGTTCATGAGGTTCGCTGCCCCAAGAGCGTTCTCCACGGACTGGATCAGGCCATCTTTCGTCTCAGCCTCTCGCTCCTGAACTCGTTTGGCGTTTGCCTCGACATTGGATATCACGTCGTTGAGGACGAGACCGTAGAATTCGTGGGCATCCTGATGCATCGAGTTTCGGAACATCTCGTTGTCTCGCTTGAAGATTTCCAAGAACCGCTGTGGGCTTAGCACGCCCGTCCTCGTGTTGCTTTCAATGAGTGCTTGGAAAATATCCTTGAGCCCTGTGAATGTACACTCTTCCATGCCGTACGCGGACGGGTTTTCTTGCGCCAACTCCAGAATCGGACCCTTGATCATGGCCTGCTTCTTCTTGTATTCTGGGGAATCAGGCTTATCTTCTGGGCGTATTGCTGGCGCGCCAGGAGGGACCATTCCCGCGGCTATGGCCTGCCTGCGCCTCGTCGACTCCGAGGCACTAAGGCCCTTCTGTTTCGCACCAGGGGTGTTCGGGGGCTCTTTTGCGACGGGCGGCCGGATCGTCACGTTCACCTTCGGTCGGGTTCCGTTCGGGGTATCGGTAGGTGAGAGTAGCGGATACTTGATGACATGGTCACGGAAGGATTCCGAGTAGAATAATGCTTGAACGATCGAGTTGCAGTAGCTGCGGCGGAGACAGTCAGTGAGTGAGAGCAAACGGCGGCGACGAAGCTGCGTACCAGGTATTTCCAAACTATAGGGCCGATTAGTACTCGTTGTCTCGGGAAAGAGGGTGGTAGGCCGGGTGGGGCTTTGAGGACTTACATTCTCGAGGCCAAAGAACTTGTCGGTGCCATCTTCCCTCAACGGACCGGCATTCTGCAACATCTTCTCCAGGGGAGTGAGCTCTGGTGCTGGCTCTTCCTTGACCTTCTTGTTCGGCGCATCTTTGCTGGTGGGGCTCGATGTTGTCTTGAGTACCGTGATCACTGTCAGCAATGACGTCGCGGAGATAGTAGCAGGAGGACGGAGACGAGAAGCGAGTAATATCAGACGCTACGTTCAGGGGATGTGATTGAGGGTTGACGAGGGAGCGAACGTACGTTTCCCGCACCCTTGAGTTTGTTGAAGAAGCCTGCCATGTTGGCGACTTCTCTCCGATCCGTTTATGAATAGAAGCCGCGGTCAATTCTCGTCGGGTAGTATCGGCGCGAGACAAGCTCGCGAAGGCCGGTCAGAGAAAGCAAAGACTACCATGCGATAGGCAATTGGGCTCGCGATGAATGATATAATATCGAGGGGAGTGCGGGGAGAGGTGATGTCGTGTATTGGAGCGAATTCGGGCGATGCGCGTGGTTGTGGCACCGATCAGTATGGGTCGTGCTCTCGGGAATTCGGCCGAAGTTGGCGGTTGGTCTGTGGAGGAAGGATGGAGAGAGGACGGAGAGATGTCAGGGGAGATTGAAAGCGGACGGTGGTTGAGGCGGCAGCATTTGCCAGGACGCAGAGATGGGACCGGGCCGTGTTGGCTAGCAGTGAGAAAGAGGAGACAGCGATGTGGGAGAAGACGGGGAAGGATGAGGAAAGTAACAAGAGGTGTAACAGCCGGGCCACAACACGCACACGCACACGCACACGCACACGCACACAGATAGAGAGGGAGGGAGGGATTGGGACTCTCAGGACTTGGGGTCCTGGGGTTGATGGGCGCAAATAGCAAGGAGCAGGCAGGACGGGAGGCGAGCTTGTGGGTTGGAAAGCAAAGACGAGACAGGATTGGACAGATGGAGAAGTAGAACGCGACAGCGACAGACAGCGACAGACTCGGTAGGCGAACCTACTTAGGTACTGTACTGTGTGTAGTGTACGGGGAAGTACATACCTAGGTAAGTGGTAGGTAGGTAGGCAGGTAGGTCATTTGGGGCACTTGGGGATGGCAGGCTGCTAGGTAGTGGTGGGACCAACGACGAGGGGTGTTCCACCCAGGCAACCCACAAGCTGACAGTGCCAGTGGAGGGAAGGTGGAGGGAAGGTGGAAGGAATCGAAGGGTTGCAGGGACACAGAACGGACCTAGTACTACCACGGAGCGAGTGCAAGGCTAGGCAGTCCAGACATGGGATTCCCGACCAGGGGGGTTGTTGCATGGAGGCTGGAGCGAATGTGCCCCCCCTGGTGTGTCCTTCCCCTCCTCGTCGGTGCGTTTGGGGGAATGGTTGAGGTTTAACAGAGTCCTAGTTAGAGGATGACAAAGTGATGATGAAATGAGGGAAGAAAGAGGTGACGGGACAGAGCAGGGCAGGGCAGTACATGACAAAAGCTGGCTAGGGAGTCTTGGCGCTAGGTAGTGCCTGTTCGTTCTCTTCCAAAACACATGGCCGCGGAGATAACGGGTGACATGGCCGTATCTCGACACTCACCTTCCATGCTGGGTTGCTCAACGTTGCGATGTAGTGAGATGTCGGATCGGGTGCGAAGGCGAAGCTAGGGCACTGAGTGTGCCTGGCAGCAAGCAGTTCCCGGCAACAGCGACAACCGCATTGGAGTGAGTGGATTGGTGGTCTGGTCTGGTCTGGTCTGGTCAGGTACGGAGTAGTGTACACACCTACCCAGGTTAGGTAGGTAGTGTGCACCTTGGTCTTCGTACGGTTGGAATGATCGAGTGTCAAACAGAAGTAGCGTCCAAGAAAAAGAGATAAAAAAAAAGAATTAATAACCAACTACACTAACACTATCTACCTACGACCAGAAGCTCTGCAGGACGCCGGCACGACGTGTCACCTGGCCCTGGCATACCCGTATAGTGTATCCGTACGGAGGTGGCAGTCTACCTACTTCTCCATCCCGTGTTCCACGATAGGGCGAGGCGTTCTGTAAAGACTGGATCATGTCTCAGTCAGAAGCCATCCCGTAACCTCTCGAAGCCAAGCAGTTTCCGAAGGACGGAATCTCATTCAGTGGCCATCCAAAATGAGTGTCTGCCCTATACTAAGGACGTCCCGCAAACTGTTGCTGTTAGTACTCCGAGTATCTATAGTACAATCAAGTGGCTCTCTCTGCTCCAAGCCGCCTTTCCTACCCTGCTCCACCCACCACCAACATCAGGGCACGGAGCACATTATCGACAGCCTGCCATGCGAGCCACCCCTCACTCTCTCGTCTCTCCGCACTCTTACCCGCAGAGAACACCACGCCCTGGGTCGTAAGTACGTACACTGTACTGCACCTTTCTGCTACCTACCTACCTTACCAATGTACAATGGTACCCTGCCACCCTGTACGTACCTGTACCTAGTAGCGTAACAGACAGACCAGGTGCGGCAGGTCCCTGTCGATTCGTTCAGCCAGCCAGTCTCCTTCCAGCTTCCCACCCAAGGTAGGAGTGGGAGCAAGACTAGTCCCAAGCACTCGGGTGACAACAAAGAAGAAAAAAACAGGATACCTTTTTCCCACCACAACCACCACCAAAAGGCATTCTAATGCTCTCTGTCACCCGAGTGCCAAATCAGGTCCGACCCTTGGAAAGTGGTAGGTAGGTATGTACTGTACTTGAGCCAGAAGATGCAGTAGCGGGTCAAGGCATCATCAGAACTGTGCACACAGTCGGAGCTGCTTCGTCTTTTTGTCTCGCCCAACTGTTTATCACCGAGGTTCCAAGCCTGCATCCTAAACTACATTCATCCACATCGCCGTTGGTTAGATCCCGACACTGACCTAGGTAGTGCACGTACGCTACTGCCTCTAGAGGCTGTTTCAATGGAACAGCGGCCATCTGTGGCCCAACGACATTCGCAGATTTATTACGGATATGCTCGCTTGATACGCTCTTTGGCTTTGGCTTTCCACATCAACGGGTCTCGAAACCAGGATAAGTCTCAACAACAACAGACGACCGCCCGTCAGATTCGCCATGGCCGCCTCCTTCTTTTTCCTTTTCTTCTTCTCCTTCTCCTCCTCCCCCGCCACTCTCGTGTCTGAGCGCTTGTGGCGCCCTGCGGCACAGCAGCACCCGAAGTTCCTCAAGCACTATCCGTACGTGGGGGCCGAACGTCGTTCGGCTTGGCTGCCAGAAATGTCCAAAACAGACGGTCCCGAGAACACGCGATTCGGGTGCGGCCACAGCCACGCTGTGCTGTGTTAATGTACCCGTCATATCCCCGCATGTCTCCGGGATCGTGTGGTCATCATGGGCGTCTGGAACTTTACCTAACTTTTCGTTCCCAATGTCCAAACTCCCAGAATCCAAGGGTCACCGGGCAATCCGTCTCTCAATCAATCGTTGCTAATCAGTCAGTCGGTCGCCATACCTTCCTTCCTGCGCAATAACCCTAGCCGCCGCCCTATATCACCAAGGTCAGCACGACACCCAGGCCTACGCACACTGAACACCCAACAGGCTCGGCGGGATGACGATGAGACGGGCGCCGTCCAGAACAAGCACTCTGCGACCTCTCCTTGACACGGTCAACAATCTTGGCTTGGGCACTGGAACCCCGAAATCCACGTTCCGCCTTGTCTATTTTTTCCCTATCACCCGTTTCCCTTCTCGAGGGTGTGTCCCACAACCGTGCATCTCGTACCAGGGCCCCTCCTCAGACGGACATGGTCCCCTTCTCTTGTGAGTTGCAACTCGACGCAACGTAACGCAACCTAAACCCGCCTTACCTGAAAATGGCAGATTTGCTGCAGCAAGGATGGGTAAGTCATCCGTCAACAAGCGGCTGGCCCGTCAGGTCAGACCGAGCTAAGCCAGGCCACCCTATTACCTGCAACCGCTTACTATGTAGGCAGGCCTCTCCGCTCTGTTGGATCCCTCGGTGGTGCGGTGCGGCCACCCCCAAAGGAAATTGTTGCATCGCCGCTGGTAGGAGAAGACCAACCGCCTGACGCTACTGGTGCGATTTCGTGTCTGGCTACCTATGGCGGCCTAGTTGCTGCCTTCATCCACGCTGCTGGACCCAAGCCCATTCGCCGACTCACTTACCGTTCTTATTCGGTTCATCTTATGACTAAGGTACAGATACCAGACACAAGGCGGTCCCTCCGACAAGCCGAGTCTCTTTGCAAACACAGCAGTGGAGAGGGGCTCTGTCGATCTGGTGCTGCTTGCCTCCCCTTGTCCCAGTACCTACCACCTACCTAGGTATGTTAGGTACTCCCACCAGGCTGGGGGAACGCTACTTGTAACCCAGCCAGCATCTATGCGGGGGATATCCGCTTGACACCGATGAGGTACCAATCACCACTCCGCGCATTCAATTCATTGCTGCACCTCTGTCTCATCCATGTCCGATCAAAACCACTTTCTTCATGGCTCGTCCTCAGCGCTCAGAGCCTATGGCGAACCCTCCCCTCCTCACTGACTCCGCCGACAAACAAGTTTCGTTGATGGGAGAGAGCAGTCAGTGCCTATCCGAATGCCCCGCGCTTCAATTCCACTAGACAGTTTTCATCTTTTTGCGCCATCTTCGGGAAACAAAGACCGAACACCCTCACATTCGTCTGTTCGGGCTATCGTCGTTGTGCCTCGCTCGTGGCGCTCCTTGGCTTACTTGATCGCACATCTTAGCCAGGCCACGCCCACTAGAACTAGCCTCTCCCAATGGGACAACCGACTGGTGGGTGCCACCGCCCTCCTTCACCGCATGATTCGTTCATTGCCGCCTCGTGGTAGGTCAGCATCCTCCACGCGCCTCCTTGCCGGCCCGATTCCCACGAACTTCTGGAAGAAGTGGCGTCATGCCCTGCATTCCTCGGTGCCGCTTCCCCCACTGCCGCCTAAGCACCAGGTGGTGTGCTATGACGAAATGGCAACATGGCGTTGGCCTTTTCCCCGTCTTAATACGGAGTAGTGTACAGATGTAACGTCCCAAGGTTGATCAAGCAGTCTCTGGTCCAATGTAAAGAGAACAGGTACTGAGGTTTTACTTAACAATTTCCCCGAGTTCTTGTCTTTCGGGGGTGGCAGAAGTGCTGTCTGGAATCAGAATGCCGTTGTCTGCGTGAGCGAGGTTCGGACGGCTCTGCTGTCATGAAGTTGGAAGGTTGGAGGGGGGCGCCGGCGTGCGGAACCGCCCAGTGCCCGCATTCGAGGCTAACATTCTCTAGTGCGACGGGGTTGTACGGCACGCGTGATGTCGACCATAAGCGCCATGTCCAAAACTGCCTTTCCGTATCTTCACTAGGTATTGGTGACCTTGAGACAAATCCAAACCTGAAGCTTAACTTTTCTGGGCCCGGCTGGGGATTCTACTTTGTAATGGGGTTGGCGCAGATACAACGTCCTCCTAAGCGGTCCAGTCAAGCAGGATATGGTGCGTGCTGGGAGATTTAACACGCGGACAGTTTGAGCACTGCGTAGGTGCCGTCATCCGTATTATTATTATTTTTTGTCCAACGCTACAGATATTGAGTCCGTCGGCGCACACTACCTCCTCCCCCCCCTTTTCCCCTCCGACTGCTCAGTCTTGGTGCATCTCAGATATTCGAGGGAATGGACAGAGGGGATGGCTATAAAGAATGCGTACGCGGCTGTACTCAGCGACAGTTCTCGGCGGCGGCGGGAGCTAGAGTCCCGTCCGTTGTTAAGCGCCTTGACCACTAGGCTAGCAAAACTACGTGAAACTACGCCACTGGATCGTTGCTCTATAAGTAAATCAGGGTCGGCATCGGTACGCTATCGCTCGTGTTACCTCTCTCCTTCGCTTCTCGCTTCCCGACCATTTTCTTCTTACCCAGTGTTTCCTGGGCGAAGGAGACGGCAACGACAGCAGGTGTTGTCACTTGATGGGGTTCTAGACCTTCCAAAGGAGTGAACCAGCCACTGTCAAGATTCAATATGCTTCGACATGCCTAGAGCGTAGACGGTCAGGATAAGTTCTAACGGCCAAGGAGACTCATGTTCGGATCAAGAATGGCACATAAACCCCCCATCATCTACTGATGATTCTGGTCTCCCCCATCCCATTGCGAACAACCCAAACCTACGTGCTGTGTTCACCTCCCGCGGAATCAATACTCTTCTCTCGCTCTATTTCTTCTCGGCCGGGGGGGCAGCTCCTCCGGTGGTCGGGAAGCCCATGAAGATCTTGAAGTAGTCCTGCTCAAAGCTGTCAGTCGCCGAATCTCCCTTCGAAAAGATGAATTCTCAACAAGCATTAACTCACGTAGATCATCCACTGGAGGCCGGTCAGGGTGCCGATCATAACGATACGGACGGGAAGACCGTTCCAGAGGCCGCCAAAGCCAATGTCCTTGTAGATACGTCCAATGGCAGCGCCGAACGCTTCGCCCTGCTGGCGATTCGCGTTGAGCTTGCTGACCATGACGTCGGCCGGGTGGGAGACAATGGCGCAGAGGATACCCGCGAGGTAGCCGCCGACGAAGGAAACGCCCGTCTGTGCGGCTTTGCTATAGTCGCTCTTCTGTCCGGGGAGGCGATGGTAGATCATCTCGACGATGGTCTCGAAGGAGGCGAACTTCATCATGGTGTAGGGGATCTGGCGGCCCCAGAGGGGATACAGCCCCTTATACAAGCCGGCCACGCCCTCCTTGGCCGTTACCTTGCTGAAGCCATCGAGGGTGCCCTTGTAGGGGGAGGGGATGCCGCCCTGCATCCGGACCTTGACGGCCTCGAAGGGGCAAAGGGCGATGTCAGCTAGGAACTCGGCCGAGGCCGATGCGGAGAGGAAGAGGAGCGTTTTGTACTTTTCGGCGTTCTCGGGGCCTGCAAGGACAGAATACTGTCGCTTGAAGTACTCATAGCTTAGGGTAGGTTAGTACATGTGTATGCCGAAGAACGAGTCCTTATTTGCTCGGCACTCCTGCATTGGATCACTTACAAGCCGTATTTGCACGCGCCTTGGGCCGAGTAACCCCAGAATGTTGGACCCCAGCCGGTCATGATTCCGCGGAGGCCCTCCGATCTGAAGATCTTGCCCCAGGCCTGGAAGTTCCCCGTGTACAGTTTGCTGTCCACCTGTCTCCTAACCTTGACGAGGTCAAGTGGCGTCACGGCAGTGTGAGTAAGCCCCTGTTACGTGATTAGCCAGTCGTATCCTCCGCAACATGTTTCGAACGGACAGGCAACTTACGCAGGCCAAGAGACCGCCAACGGTGCAGGCGGCATAGTACTTGCCCGAATACAGCTCGATCTTGCCACCGGCGGCAGACTGGGCTTTCGCGCTCGCCTTGTCGAACTCGGCGGCAGCTTCAGCGCTGAGCTGCTTGGCTTTGCCCTTGACATCGTCGACGGTGGAGAAGGCGCCGTAGAGCTCCGGGCGAGCTTGGTAGCGCGAGGGCTGCTGTCGGCGGTGGAGGGTAGCTCCGGCATCCTCGGCGCCGTAAAAGGGTGAAGAGAGACAACCCTTGAGGGCATCGGTTCGCGGGTAGAGGAACGACATGGCCGGGACGCTGCTTCGTCGGGGCCGATTGGGGGATTGAGATAGGTCAAAGTATTCTAATCCAAGCGTCAGATCGAGACCCTGGCGTTGATGATGGACAATTGAATCCGTGGGATTTGGGTCGGAAGGTGAGCCGAGTGCACAATTGAGTTTCGCAACGATGCCTGGAGCTCGAAGACGGGCACGGCGCAGTAGCAAGATTCCTTTGCGACGACGACTAGTCGAGGAGGAAACCAGTGACGAGAAGTTCTCTCGACGCGGTGAGGTAAGGAGCTGAGGGTATGCTCTAGCTTGGAAGGATCAAGGTGGATGTCACGCGATACGAACAACCGTTTCCGGCGCAAGAACGAGATACTCTTGAGGCTGAACTTACACTTCTCAAAGGACGGAAGCAGAGGAGCGAAGCTCACGAAATGAAGCAGACTAGGGGAATGGGGAAAAGAGGTCGCAGATTTGCGTGTCACACACTGATTGACAACGGAAAGAGAGGTTGGAGTATGCGATGTCATGAAAGCAGGTTTATTGTCTCATGCATGCTATTATGGGAAGGCGCCCCGAGCAGTGACTGGACGGGAAGCTTAGGAACGACGGTGTGGATGGGATGGTCAAAAGGGGGTTGTCTTCCTGAGGTCTCCGATACTTCGTATCACCTAGAGACGTCGTCCAGGCCGTCGCAGCCTCAGCGCGCGGAAGTACTTGAGATGCAGGAGTGACATCACTGGAAGCACAAGGTCCAGAGTGGAAGCTGGAGTGGAGAACTTTGCCGATAAGCAGCACCAAAGGATTCCGTGTTGTTATCGAGGAACGGGTCCTGGCTTATTGCCGCCCGTGTCCCGGATTTAACGGCGAACAAGCACTTAAGACCAGTAAATGGACGTACCTATGTACATATGTAAAAGGAGCCTGAGCTGTCCAACGTCTCAGGGCCGGTCGGTCAACATAGTCATAGTCATAGTTCGCAGTATTGTTGTGGAATCTGAGCGTTAAGGATTACAGCATATCCAGAGGCCTCAGAGAAACGAGTCCCATGTCCTCCAGTCATTGCCAGTGCTGAAAATGTCGAGCTCTTACTGGGCCCTGCCATTTCCCTACCAGTGATCTTCAGTAGCCTCGTACCGCTGTGGAACCCCCCGCCTCCTCGGTGAAGGACCAGTTCGGCGCGCCGCTTAGTGAAACCTTGAGTACGAGGCGGGCCATGCCCCCGCCTGGCACTCAAGACACTCAGGTCCCTATGTCCCGCCAAATCTTTCAGCCCTGTCGACACCGCCCCCTCCAAGAAGAACCCTGAGATACATACACACGACAACCAAAAAAGGCCAGCCTTACAACGGACCCAAAACAATCCGCAACGTCCACAATGGCGGCTCTGGCTCCAAACTCGGCTGCGGCGGCGTCCACATCGCAGCCCAGCGACGCTTCCACCCCCTACGTCTCGAAATGGTCCTCTCGCTATCGCGGCGTACGTCCTCCTGTCCTTGACCGTCCTCTTTGTTTTCAATTACACGCCCCCTTCCCCCGAGGCCTGCCTGATACTGACATTCTCACCGTCCAGGCCACCGTAGAAGACCTTGACCCCCCGGCCGCCCTCTCCTTCACCCCAACCGACCCCATCTCCCACGCCCTCATGTCGGCCTTCGAGCGCGACTACACTCACTTGACCGTTGTCGATGCCCACCGCGCCCTTGTCGGCTACCTCTCCATCCCGCACCTCCAGGCTCTGCTCGACGCTGGCAAGGTCTCGCCCTCGGATCCGCTTTCCAAGGCTATGGTACGGTTCCAGCGCAAGGGGCGCAAGTACCGCGTCATCTCGATGCAGACTCCGCTGGAGGAGCTCGAGGCCTTCTTCGAGGGCGACGGCGTCGAGGGGAGGAAGAGTCACTTCGCTGTAATTACGGACGAGAAGAGGCGCTTCGTGCTAGGCGTCGCAACGGTGGAGGACTTGCAGGAGTTCGTCAAGAGGAGGCCGGCGTGAAAAAAGCGTTTTTGAGGAAAAGGGGGGATCCAATGACGGAGAAAACATGAGATTTGTCAGAGAAAGGGTCGTTTGATATCCAACAGTAGTAGCGGAATGGACCGAACACAGGTTACGCTATGGTGGAAGAAAGAAAATAGAAGCAAAAGTTGGGAGGTGGCTGCATCAACTCGGGCGTTGGCGGTTCGCGTGGAACGGAGGGAAAGGCATCGGAATCCCGACTACTAGAGGGGCAAGCGGCGATTCAACATTGCTCTGTTGTCACACACGACTGCACATAAATCATCACGCGTAAGGAATAGGCGTTTGAATCGGGTTAAACTGTTATTCGTGCTCTCAAAGTCTACTCTTGGTAGGGCATGTCGCCATCATGTGCGCGAAGGTATTGTTAGTCTCGTGTGTGTGTATGTGTATGTGTGTGTGTGTGTCTGTAAGAGCCATTGCTCTCGTTGCATGTAGTGTAGAACTCCAACCCATCCGCGTATAAGACAAACTGCCCCTTGGCCATTACATGCAGTACAATCCGGATCCAACGCAATTACTCTAGGCGACCCAGTCGTAGACGAGACGGATCTCGACTCTCTTGCCGCCCTTTTGGACGAGAATGTTGCGGGCGTGGCGTCTCTCGCCGTTGATGGTCTGGAAGCCCCAGACCTGAGTGGCGGTCCAGCCGTTGTCAATGCTCTCGACGTGACTGTATATGTGGCTCTTGCCGTCGGGGCCCACAGCCTCGCCTTCACCTTCGAGCCAGCCCTTTTTGAGAAACTCGTCCTCGATTTCGTCGAAGCTCATCCAGCTGCTCTGGCCGCGGACGCTGCCGAATAGCCAATCCGAGTGCTCGCGGAATTCGGAGTCGAGGCAGCGCTCCTCCGAGGTGCCCTTAAGACCACCCGTCGCGACTTGGTCAACGTCGATGTGGGTGACGGGCTCGGTGCCTTGGCTGGGAGGGGAAGGCGGGGCGGTGTACTGCTTGACAGTGAGGGTGATGGTAGCCAAGCCGATAGCCTTACGCGTCATCCAGCCAATACCCTGGAGGGCGAGGGCCGGCTCAGAAGAGTCAGAGAGGCTCTTGTTCTGGAAGATTGTTAGTATTCTGTCATTACCGTTCGCACCACAGCTAGCATGGCGTCAGGTCCTTTGGAGAGGGGGGGCTGCAGTTGAACGTACCATAACCCACTGGCCGGAGAGGTCGGCAATCGTCTTTGTTGCGGGGGCAGCCATTGTGTCACGATGTGAATATGTACGGTCTTATGGCCAGAACGGAGGGCAGAGAATATCTTTATAGCAGTTGTATTGCGGTAAAGTAGTCGATTGGGGAGAGGTGAAGCTTCACTTGGGTGGATTTGAAGGTTCGGTGGGTAGTGTGAGTGAAAGCAAAATGCTGAAACTCAGGCGGGGTAGATAGATAGATATAGGTCTAGGAAGGTAAAGAGAACATAAAGCTAAGAAGTCACTCAAGGCAGGCGCAACGTCAGTGTCAGGCAGGCACTTCCTTCCTGTATATATTTTATTTATGTGATGAAGAGTCACTTGTGTGACTGAGAGTGAGGACGTACGAATAAGAGGTACTGGGCTGGGCTGAAGAACTAAAAGGTGACGTGGGTTGAGCCTCGGGCCAAGAAGCGCCAAACCCGGCGGGGTATTCACACCTACCTCCCTAGCCAGGGGTAGCCACCACTGCCAGAAGTCAGGTACATACGAACTGTTAGAACTCAGGCAACCTTAAGGTCATTGGACAGGCCCGGTCCGGTGGGGAAAAGTTGGATTTTGAAGCCAAACTTCGGTTGCCGAAACATCGACAACGGTCTACCTAAGTAGGTAGCGGAATCAGAATCGTGGCTGCAGACAGCTAAAACGAAAAAAGAAGAAAAAAAGAAGAAGGTCAAGCTGCGATTGCTATGGCTCAGCCAACCAGATTAAGAGCAAAGAGCACTACGCCATCATGATGCTTCTTGTTTCGACCGAGGCTCAATACACCATCCATGGATGCCTCCCAACGTTGCCCAGGAATGCACGTGGGATTGCAGTCAGTCACTCCGTTACTACCCACACCCTCCTCACCCGGACTTACTACAGGTATGTACTTGTGTATACCACTCTCGTCACCAGTTCGATTCCTCCTCCCAGCAACTATCCATCCACCGCCTCCTCTTCCATAATAGAGTTATACAGCCAAGTTACACATGGATCTGCATGGGCCAAATGATCAGTAAATGCATACTACAAGCTCTGCTTGCTATTTCTCATCCCAATCCGGCCGCCGACATACGGCGTGGGGACGTAGTCCCACAAACCAGAACCCTCGACAACGACGACAACGACCGACGATGCTGAGCTATATGCTGGGTCGGCCGTCCCACAATCAAAGCCGGATGTATATTTTCAAATCAGGTAGCTAATGTCGAGAAACCGGAAGAGAGCGCGGACCACGGGCCTGGTCCAGCGAGATGCAGGCTGAATCGGCCGTGCGATGGACGACCTTTCCTATCGTCTGATGCGGCACACCGACTCTTGGTCCCTTGGCTGACTTGGCTGGATGCCATGCGTGGTAAGAAGTACAGCATGCATGGCGAGCATGTCACTCTGCTCGCTGGGATAAAACGTAGATGTAGGCACGCGCATCTTCTCAGCTCCTCGTTTGCATAGGTACCTAGGTGACAGGGACCATACCGGTAAACGGTCTCGGTCCTCCCATCTCGTCCTAGACAACCAAATGCTACCCATAGCGCTGGCAGACTTTCCCTGACCGACGACCAGTTGCCTCGCACCTTGTCGACCAGTCAGTCATGCGCATACCCGGGGGGCATGACATACAGTCACACCGGATGGATTGGGAGCGAGCCGATTACTATATCCAGCTAGACAACCTCGTGTGCGCCCTCCCCAACACCGTAAACGCATAATCATCACTCCCGCCGTCCGACAGCGCTTTGCTACCAGCATGAACCCGTCCGCTCGGCTTCGCATCGCACAATAGCGCCCATCCCATCACTGGCCAACCGCATCCGTCCGGTTCCACGACATGCATTGACAGCTCGCACGGAATTCCAGAACTGACAGCAAGCCTCGATCGAGTCTCGAACCCAGCGCTAGTCAACATTATGTCTTTGATGTGTGCTTGAAACACCAACATTCCCCCAAGAAGACAACCGCATCAGAAGAGTTCCGACTGGGGTGCCGTTCTTTCTCTTCTTGAAGGAGTAAATTGGTGAAGCGCAATCATGCGCAACGAGTCATGGTGGTGGTAGAGGTTCGCCATGCGACGACCCTCTCTCGCGTGTTCGGCCGGGCTCTAGGTACTGACTCTAACGCCCCAAAACAGCCGAGGAACGAACTTTGAGAATCCAGAGATAGCTTTCTCGCTGCAGCGGGGCCAAGCTCCAACGAGGTGAGCTGCGGAAGCAGGAAGATCCCAGCAGCTGTTCGCGACGCTGCGAATGGATCACAAGATTTTATGAACAGCTCCAGCACATCACAATGTAACATCCGTGAGCCCCTAGTCGTCATGCGAGATTGCACCGGCCTGCCTAATGTCGTCGCGGATTACTGCCCTCAAGATAATGCCAACTTACATGGCCGGAGCTACGAAAAGGAATAAAAGGAAAAGGATATCTTGGTTGTACAAATGCCCCGGCTGCTGCCCGCCATCGATTCCGAATGCTTTTCGCATGCAGTTCAAGTTCCCAACAAACGACTCGACTGATGCCACGACGCTCTCGCGCCCACACCGGCCCCCCGTTCTTGGGAACCGGCCTGGAAAGTCATTATCCATCCGCACGCTCCCATGCTTCTAGTTCATTCCGTCACGGCCACCAGTTCATCTTCTTGTAGCTCTCAATCACCTCCTCAATCAGTTCCTTGGTAAGTTTCGGCTTTTCGTACTGGAAGCCGACGACCTGCTCCAGCCTGCTGCCGTCCATGCTGAGATCGGTATCCTTCAGCAATTCCTTTTCCATAAATGGCGTAAGAGGTCCTGGTCGCGCGATACCTGCCTTCTCGAGCAGCTCGGCCCAGGGACCCATGAGCTCGTCGTTGACGTCGTCAACGACGCTGTCCATGTTGAGGCGCGCAAACGTGCTGATGAGCTGACCCTGAAACCCCGTCTCGATCTTGAAAACCTCGCCAATGATCTCGGCCATTGTGCCCTGCGTCGTCACGCCCTTGTCCACGACGTTGAACGTGGGCACACGACCCATGGTCTTGTCGTCCCATTTGTCCTTGCCCTTGTCATACCACGTCGTGATATCCCAGAGCGCTCGCACAGCATCTTGGATGTGTACCGTGTTTTGCCGAAGGCCCTTGTCCCACAGCCACTTCATTTCGCTCTCAAGGTATTGGTACACACGGGCCATGCATAGTGCCGTCGCAACCCATTGTGACGCATAGGGCCCGTACACATGCGCTAACCGAACAATGACGAGGTTCAATCTACAAGTCGGGCACTTTGGTCAGCATCGAGAGAACGTTGAGAGGTCGTCGTCGTGCGATGGGAGTGACTCTACATTATATATGAACGTGAGTGCCGTTCGTGACAAGAGACTGACATCCGCAGACCAATGGCGTGTCCGGGACCATTAAATAGATCGGCCTGGGGAAGTCAATCCTTGATCTCCCATAGTGCTCCTCGCGCGGTGGGTCCCTCACAGTGATATTAGGGAGTCATAGCCCCTCCACCGCACATTCCCCTTGCTACGTATCATTTTCACAAACTCGTCCGCTCTACCGCTACATCG